TCCATCTGCAGTGACCATGGAGCCCAAGAAAGTAAAATTTGTCACTGCCTCCATATCTTCCCCTTCTGTTTCCCAGGAGGTGATGGGACCAGTGGCCATGATCTTTGGGGTTTTTTTATGTTGAGTTTCAGACCGTTTTTTACACTCTCCTCTTTCACCCTCATTACGTGGTTCTTTAATTCTAACTGTTGCTTCCTGTCCCACATATTGGTTTCTCAGGAGATAGATAAGGTGGTCAGGCACTCCCATTTCTTTAAGAACTTGCCAGAGTTTGCTGTGGTCCACCCAATCAAAGGCTTTTGCATTGTCAATACATAAAATTTATGTTGGCACCCACTATGCTGTTTTTTTCTGTGTCTTTTGCTATTTTTGTTAATTTCAATTTCTTTTTATGTGCTTTTCTTCTTTTTAAATATTTCTAAGCCACCTTGAGCACAAATATAGATGCTGTTCTGTTTGTCTCGTCACTTCTGACTTCTGGTGATCCTGTGATTGTTCTGTTCTGTCTCGTCACTTCTGACTTCAGGAGATCCTGTGATTTCATAACCTCCAGAGCCAGCTTTTCTCAGGGATATTGACAAGTCTTTGGGCCCAAGTCCCATATGTGGGTCTTTGTTACCAAGTCCCAAGTCTTGAGTGCCTATTAAAAAACAAGCTTTTTCCACCCCAAAAAAGGAGGAGTGGGTTCTGAGTTGAGTCTGAATCATTGGAGAGAGAAAAAATGAGTCGAGTCACCAGTGTGACTTAACTCCGACTTAGTTACTTTTATCATTTACTGAAGTCGCTTGACTGGAGTCCCCATCCCTGCCTATAATTACCAGCCTCAATCAGGTCTTGCTAAATCAAGACTGCCCCTTCCTTTTTGGACTCCATATAACTGACAGTCTTCCACTTTTCCCGGCATCGGAAGAAGCATAGAACTTCATGAACTTATCTTAAAGGAAAAATAAATAAGATGAAAACTTTTCTGTAAGAACTGTGTTGCTTAGAATATTGAGTGATTTTATCCTGAACATTTTTTAAAATGCAGAATTCTTTCTTCGTTTCTAAGTCTATGAATTATATTTCACACACATATTGTCTTGGAAACAGTGATGAAAGAGGTAAGGTGATAATTGGTGCAAATCCAGAGGAGCAAAACTGAATGAATGCTGTTGGGAAGGATGTTTCCCTGGTCCTGTTGCGGGAGAGGTAGAAAGTGGGAGTGCGTGTTTTCCCTGTTCTCTAAGGGTTAAAGGCAGTGAGTTGGTCTTCCTAGAGGGGAAGTCATAAGTCCTCCAGAGGAAGTGTCCTCTCCCAAAAGGACCCCTCCACTTCCTGTGCCTTTTTTTTCAGCCTCCGGAGAGAAACGGGGGCTTGAGCTCCTTCCCGGGGCGTCTGGGCGGCGTTTCCCTTCCCGGGCGAGCTGAGCTCCCTGCCTGGCCCTGTGGGGGGTGAAGCCGAGCCCCTCCGGAGAGGGTGGCAGAGGAGCCCCCTTGGGGTGGGGTACCCCAAAGTCTGTCTCTCTCTGCCCCCCAATCCAGCCCCGCCGAGGGAGGGAGGTGCCTCCTCGAGGGGAGGATCCCCGCTAAGGTGAGGGGTGGAATGGGATCCTACAAATCCGCCAAGGTGAGGGGTGGAATGGGATCCTACAAATGCTTTGCTAGAGGATGCTGGAATGAACCATGTTTAACTTCAGCTAAGGAATGCTGGGACACTTTGAAAAATATATATGTGAGAGACAACAGGAACAGTGGTTTCCCTAACCAGAAAGCTGTATAGAGCAAGCTGAGGGGTTGAGCCACTTTCCTTCCTCCGGCCGGGTTGCCCGAGGTGGGAGAGGCTTCCAGGGGAGCCTTTTTCAGGCATTTGGAGCCTTTCAGGGAGAGGCCGAGTGCGGGGGAGAGGCTGGCAGGGCGACTCGGAGGAAGGAAGGAAGGAAGGAAGGAAGGAAGGAGAGTCCTCCTCCTCCTGGGTTGCCTGAAGCAGAAAGCGAGCTCTCCCCCCCACCCGGCACT